TGAAAAAATTTATTAGAATTTTTTTAAAAATTATTTTATTTGAGAGGTAGAGTTACAGATAGAGAGAAGGAGAGACAGAGAGAAAGGTCTGAAGCCAGGAGCCAGGAGCTTCTTCCGGATCTCCCATGTGGATGCAGGGGCCCAAGCATTTGGACCATCTTCTACTGCTTACCCAGACCTTAGCAGAGAGCTAGATTGGAAGAAGAGCAGCTGGGACACAAACTGGCACTCATATGGGATGCCAGTGCCACAGGTAGAAGCTAAGCCTACTTTCCACAGAGTCGGCCCCTTTATTGGAATTTTGATAGGAATTACATTGTGTCTGAGGATTGTTTTGCATAGGACAGCCATTTTAACTGTATTGATTTTTCCAATCCATGAACATGGAATATATTTCAATTTATTTGTCTCCAATATCTCTCATTAGTGTTTTATAGTTATGAACAATATATATTTCATCTCAGTTATTGCTACATATTTTATTTTTGTCACTATTATAATTGAGATTGTTCTCTTGATTTCTTTTTCATTGTAAGTATGTAGATAATTTATTTTTGTGTATTCTATTTGTCTGGCAACTTTCCTGAATTCATTTATTTGACTTATCAGTTTCTTGGTGGTCTTTAGGGTTTCCCATATACAATATCATGAAATATGCAGAGACAATTTAACTTCTTCCTTTCCAACTTGAGTGTCTTTTATTTATTTTTCTTGCCTAATTTCTCTGGCTGGGGCTTCAGTACTATGTTGAATGGAAGTTGAAAGTTTGAGCATCTTTGTCTTATTCTGCCTTAGAGGAGAATTTTCCAAATATTTGAAAATGTGTAATGTTAGCTATGATTTCTCTTATATGGCCTTAATTGTGTTGGTTACATTCCTTTTACAAATAATTTATTAAGAGATTTTATCATGAAATGATGTTGAAATTTTTCAAGTGCTTTTTCTGTATCTATTGAGATGATCATGATTTTTATCCTTCATTCTGTTAATTCAGTATATCTCATCTATATATTTGTGTATGTTGAACTTCCCTTACATTGCTGGAATGAATCCTACTTGGTCATAGTGAATGATACTTTTAATGTGCTGTCGCATTTGATTTTCTAGTAGTTTGTTGAGGATTTTGCATCTGTATTCATGAGAAAGCATGCTTTGTAATTTTCTTTTCCTAAAGTGTCTTTGTCTTGCTTTAGTATCAGGATAATAATGGCCTTATGAAATGATTTTGAAAGTATTCCATCTGTTCAATTTTTTGGAAGAGTTTGACAAGGGTTAGTATTTATTCTTTAAACTTTTGGTAGAATTCAGTAACAAATCCATCAGATCCTGGTCTTATCTTTGATAGACAATGTTTTGATATTCTGATTCAATCTTCTTGTGACTGATCTATTCAGATTTTCTCTTCCTTTATGACTCAGTTCTGGTAGATTGTATGTATCTTGAAATTTATCAATTCTGTTATCAAATTACCTCTTCTTATAAACATACCAGTCACATTGGATTAGGGCCCATTCTTATGGCTTCATTTTAATTTAATCACCTCTTTAAAGGATCTGTCTCCAAATACAGCCACTTGCTGAGGCACCGGGGTTCAGGGCCTCAACACATGAATTTAAGAGAGGTAAAAAAAATTTCAGCCCATAATATCATTTAAGATGCAGAAAGCTTTCAGGTTATGAAAGCTGGAAGGCGCCACCACCCTCAGTTCCCAGAGCGGCCGTCCATCAGTGTTAGCATGTCATCAGAATCCTTCCTTTCCTTCTGGTGGTGGTCAGTCTTATGTGAGTCACCCAAGTTGTTATTCATGGCTGCTTCTGCGCCATGCTGGGACACTGGACGTGCTATGAGGTGAGGGCTGAAGACTTCTGCCGCTTCTGTGTGCCTTCTGGAAGTCATTCTGCCCTCCCTGTGTTATGTGAGCACAGGGAGACTGCATGAGGTAATCTCAGGCCTTTCATATGCATACTCCTGAGTCTCATAACATAAAAGGCACAAATTCATTCTTCTCCCCAAATGACAGAACTTGCTGTGGTCCATTTTCACTTAATTGTCTATCTTTCACGCAACCGTAGCTCAGGGCTTTTGAGGAGAGATATAACAGTCAGGATGTGGGATCCCTTTCTCAGGTACTCACCACAAGTAAACTCTCATTGTTTCCTTTCTCACTCCCCTAAGCCCCACCTCCACCATGCAGCAAAACCTTTTTCTGGGGATGGACGCTCTGTTGTATTGCCTTGTGGTGCACCACGCTGATCCGAAGCCAGGAGCCAGGTGCTTCTCCTGGTCTCCCATGCTGGTGCAGGGCCCAAAGACTTGGGCCATCCTCCACTGCACTCCCGGGCCATAACAGAGAGCTGGCCTGGAAGAGGGGCAACCGGGACAGAATCCGGTGCCCCGACCAGGACTAGAACCTGGTGTGCCGGCACCGCAAGGCAGAGGATTAGCCTATTGAGCCACGGCACTGGCCTGCAAAGACATTTTAATGATACTGATTCTTCCAATCCATAGCAAGGAATATCTTTCCATTTTTTGTGTCCTTGATGATTTCTTTCATCAATGTTTGATAATTTTCAATGTAGATATCTTTCACTTCTCTGGTTAAATTTATTCCTAAATATTTGATTTTTTTGTAGCTATTATGAATGGATTTCTTTATTGATTTCTCTTTCTTTGAGCTCATCATTAGCACACAAACATGCTACAAATGGCCAACAGATACAGGAAAAAAATGCTCAACATCACTAGCCATCTGGGAAATGCAAATCAAAACCACAATGAGATACCATCTCACCCCTGTCAGAAGGCTACAATCCAAAACACAGAGAGAAACAAATGCTGGCCAGGATGTGAACAAAGGGAAACACTTGAACACTGTTGGTGGGGATGTAAATTAGTGCATCCACAGTAAAAAACAGTGTGGAGATTTCTTTACAAACTAGAAATAGACTTGTCATATGATCCAACAATTGCATTACTGACTGTTTACCCAAAAGACTTGAACACAATGTATCAAAGAGATATCTGCACCACCTTGTTTATAGCAACACTGTTCACAATAGCCAAAATTTGGAACCAACCAAGATGTCTATCATCAGATGAATAGATGAAGAAAATGTGGTGCAATATATAAATAATGGGATACTTTTTAGCTATAAAAAAGGATGAAATTCTACCATTTGCAACAAAATGGGTGCAACTGGAGGACATCATGTTGAATGAAATATTGCTGACCCAGAAAAATGAATACCACATGTTCTCCCTTATATGTGGGAACTAAAATTGAAAAAAAAAAAAAAAGAAAATGGAAAGAAATGTCTGTCTGTATCAGTATTGCTGTAAATATAGTTTTGTAAAACTTTGTTTTATACCTTTGTCAAACCAACAGTTAAGAATATTACACTACTATAGTTTTAATGATCTGTGATTACTTTAAATTACTGTGTATGGGTGAAATGGTCATTTTCCATTAAATTATTATTTATAGCCATTGTCTATATTCCCAGTAAACTAGGATCATTTTGCTTATTTATTAAACTTCTTATTTGGTAAAGTATTAAGCCCTTTAACTGTAATATAAACTTAAAATATGTTATCTCAAAAACTTAAAAAAGAAAGAAGGCAGTAAGGTAGGAGGGAGAGAGGGAGGGAGGAAAGGAATACCACTGTATCCTTAGAATTGTATCTACAGGGCCGGCGCCATGGCTCACTTGGTTAATCCTCCGCCTGCAGCACCGGCATCTCATATGGGCACAGGTTCTAGTCCCAGTTGCTCCTCTTCCAGTCCAGCTCTTTTCTGTAGCCCAGGAGGGCAGCAGAGGATGGCCCAAGTGCTTGGGTGCCTGCACCGGCATGGGAGACCAGGAGGAAGCACCTGGCTCCTGGCTTTGGATCGGTGCAGTGCCAGCTGTGGCAGCCATTTGAACAGCAGAAGGAAGACCTTTCTTTCTGTCTCTCTCACTGTCTAACTCTATCTGTCAAATAATAATAAAAAAAGAATTGTATCTACAAATCACATTGAATCTGTTAAAAATAAAAAATAATTTAAAAACCATGCAGAGAGATAATCAGAGAGAGATCTTCCATCTGCTATTTCAATGCCCAAATGCCTACAACAGACAGTGCTGAGCTGGGCTAAAGCCAGGAGTTAAAACTGAATCCAGGCTGGTGCCACGGCTCACTAGGCTAATAATCCGCCTGCGGCGCTGGCACCCTGGGTTGTAGTCCCGGTTAGGGAAGTGCTTGGGCCCTGCACCCACATGGGAGACAAGGAAGAAGCAAAGCACTTGGCTCCTGGCTTCGGATCGGCGCAGCGCACCAGCCGTAGCAGCCATTTGGGGGGTGAACCAGTGGAAGGAAGACCTTTCTCTCTGTCTCTCTCTCTCTCACTAACTCTGCCTGTCAAAAAAAAAAATTGAATCCAGATCTCTCTTCTGTGAAGGAGGGACCCAAGTATTTGAATCCTCTCCTGCTGCCTCCCAGAATATGCATTAGTAGGTGCACATTAAGGTGCAAAGAGAGGGGCTGGTGCTTTGGCGTAGCGGGTAAAGCTGCTGCCTGCAGTGCCAGCATCCCATATGGGCACAGGTTCAAGTCCCAGCTGCTCCACTTCCGATCCAGCTCTCTACTATCGCCTGGAAAAGCAGTAGGAGATGGCTCAAGTCCTTGGGCCCCTGCACCTGCACGGGAGACCTGGAGGAAGCTCCTGGCTCCTGGCTTTGGATTGGCATAGCTCCAGGTGTTGTGACCAACTAGGGAGTGAACCAAGGGATGGGAGACCTCTCTTTCTCTCTCTTTGCCTCTGACTTTCAAATAAATAAAGGTGCAAAGAGAAAAGTGAGTTACAAAAATTACACTACCATAATTGATAAGTAAAAAACATTGTTTAAAATAAGTGGCTTATTTTGTTCAAACTTGGAAAATGTACATCCCCCACATTAAGATGCTGCTTCCTCATTGGTTCATGATGAAATTATGAGTGCAATTTCCTGTCTTCTCAACAGTGTTGGTTTCTGTTCTCCATGAACAAGATTTATCAGGCTGTTCAGTCGACAAAACCATCATCCAAAGAAAATGGGTAAGTATAAGATTTAAAAATAAAATATTAAAAGATTTAATAAGATATTTTGAAAGATATGAATGTCAACAATGTTCACAACATTTTATCTGGTTTAAGCAGTATAAATGTGGTAAGCAAGAAAGAGAAATGCGGTTTCCTCTTCTTTGAACAGTGGTTAAAGAATGTCAAAACTTAAATTTAGAGCTAGTTAGGTAAAACCTTGGATATCCAAAAGGGGGATGTTTATGCTCCATTTCTTTTCCAAGACACAATGTATTAGCAAACTGCATTGTTTGGGAAGAAACCTACCAGCTACTGGCTGTAAAGCTGTCTAGTCCCATTTCGTCATCTGTACGATAGTCTAGTAATACTTTTTAAATCAATCAGAAACAACATGAAGTTAGAAAATCATTGATATTGATTAATACTATAAATTTTATTAGTTAATAAATGACCATCACAGTTCCTGTACATAGTGGACTCTTAGTAAGTAGCTGTTAAACTACCAAGTGAAAGCAAGAATTTCCTGTAATATTGTGGGAAAACATTTCACTTTTGATTATTGTCATCAATGATTTATACTATTTTTAGAGCTAATTAAGAGTGAAATATTGTAGATTGTCTTTTTGACATTTGGTAAAAATTAAAATATAAGTTTAAAACTCATGCAAAAACAGTTAAAAAACTCGTTAAAAACAGTGCTGGTTCTAAAAATAGTTGTATCAAAATATGATTAAAATAGCTAAAAATACCTGAAAAGATATATACATGATAGAAATTACATATTCTTGTTTTTTAAGATTTATTTGAAACTCAGAGTTATGGAGAGAGAGAGGGAGAGAGAGAGAATCCATCCACTGGTTCACTCTCTAAATTGGATCTGGGCCAATCCAAAGCCAGGAGCCATGAGTTTCTTCTGGGCCTCCCACATGGGTATAGAGGCCCAAGTACTTGGGCCATCTTCTGATACTTTCCTAGGAACATTAGCAGGGAGCTGAATTGGAAGTGGAGCGGCCAGGCCTCGAACTGGTGCCCATATGGGATGCTGGCACTGCAGGCCATGGCTTTGCTTGCTACACCACAGCACCAGCCTCAGAAATTATATATTCCATTAAAATTTTATATCCACACAAATTAAATTGACAAATTGTGGTATGCGGTGTAGTGTGTGGAGTGTTACTGTAGGAATCATGCTCTGAGTGCCTCTGGTTTCTCTCCTGCTCTCTGCCTAGATGGCCAAGATGACCTCTTTCTAGGGAATGTTGGGGACAACACAGAGAATAGCAGCAGAACACTGATACTGTCCCTGAAACAACACTATCAGCTCATGTCTAGCAAGGGCTTACCATGTGCTAGGTACTTTGCTTTATGTGTCATTTCATTTAATTCTCACAGCACCATAGGAAGTGGGTACTAACTTACTCATGTGGAAACTGGAACTTGAGAGAAGTGAAGAAACAGATGGTCACGGAGCCACCAAGAGCTATTGAGAGACCTTCAAACTATCTCCAAAGCCCATACTCATAACCACAACCCTCTTCTATCTCTGTTGCTCAACAGAAAAGAGACCTGGTCTCTGTTCCATCAAATCATTCTGTCTGTGGTTGTGTTAGTCAAGGCAAGAAATGCTTTTACAGCTAGAGACATTCATTCTACTGAGAACTGAGTTAAAAAAATCATTGTTTCCATCTTATCTATTTTTAAAATATATGTGTGTGTGTATATAACATACATACAATATAAGATATATAAACAGACAAATATACATGAACAGACAAAGATGGAGGAGGTAGCCTCTTCCCATCACCCAACGCTCTTGGTCCTAGTCTTCAGCGGGGTTATTTCAGGGTTCAGGTGTTCTGCAGATGCCTGAGTCCAATGGTGGATATGATGCGCATTCACCAGTCATCCACAATAACTTGATCAATCTTTTGTGCACTTCAGATCTTACACAAGTGTCATTTTCCTCTCTTCAATTGTATACTTTAGAAGTTTCTTTATTGCCGGCGCCGTGGCTCAATAGGCTAGTCCTCCGCCTTGTGGCACAGGCACACTGGGTTCTAGTCCCGATCAGGGCGCCGGATTCTGTCCCAGTTGCCCCTCTTCCAGGCCAGCTCTCTGCTGTGGCCAGGGAGGGCAGTGGAGGATGACCCAAGTCCTTGGGTCCTGCATCCCATGAGAGACCAGGAGAAGCACCTGGCTCCTGCCTTCAGATCAGCACGGTGCGCTGGCTACAGCGCGCTGGCAGTGGCAGCCATTGGCGGGTGAACCAACGGCAAAGGAAGACCTTTCTCTCTGTCTCTCTCTGTCCACTCTGTCTGTCAAAAAAAAAAAAAAAGTTTCTTTATTAAGGATTTGGAGGGTAAATTTTTTCACTGAGATTGTCTGGAAATGACTTGATTTTTGCTGTGGTCCTTAAATCTGGTTTTATTGGGTATATAATTATAGGATGGCATATATTTTCAAAACAGTTTGGAAATGTTAATCCCTCATCTCTGCTTTCTGTTGTTGCTATTGAGAAGTGCTTTGTCAGTCTAACTCCATCCTCTGTAATAATCCATGTCTTCTCTCTGAATCTTTTTCTCGTAGTCTTTGATGATCTGCAATTTGATTGCAGTAAGTCTAAGTATAGAGTTCCATTTTTGGTTGTTTTTAATCCTATTTGGGAGTTTCTAGGCTTAATAAACAGAAGGATTCCCTGTCCTTCATCAGTTACAGAACGTTCTTAGCCATTATCTTCACAATATTAGCTCTTTCTTATTCTCTCTTTATGGAACTCCAGTTACACAATTAATTTGTGTTGACTTTTTCACCTTATTGTCCAGGTTTCTTTGGTATTTTTCTATCTATTTATTTCTATCTTGCAATGTAATAATTCTTTCTTCAACTAGATCTAAACGGTTAGTCCCTACTGATTTTTTAATTTTAAATATAATATAATATTTAATATAATAATTTTTATAAATCCTATTATGTTTATAAATTTTTATTGAGGGGCAGAAAGAGAGAGAAAGGAAAGTAGACAGATCTCATCTGGTAATTCACTCCCCAGGTGCCAAAAATGATCAAGGATGTGCCAGGCTGAAGTCAGGAGTCAGGAGCTCAATGCAGGTCTCCTGTGTGGGTGGCAGGGACACAACCACTTGAAGCCATACTTACTGCCTCCCAGGGTCTGCATGAGCAGGAAGCTAGAATCAGCATCAGAGCCAAGACTTAAATGCAGGCACTTTGATATGACATATGAGTATCCCAACAGTGTCCTAACTGCCAGGCCAAACTCTAGCTCTTGACTTTTTTATTAAAATATGCCCGGGGTGGGGGGTGGCACCACAGCTCACTTGGCTAATCCTCCGCCTGTGGTGCCAGCACCCCAGGTTCTAGTCCTGGTTGGGGCGCCAGATTCTGTCCCGGTTGCTCCTCTTCCAGTCCAGCTCTCTGCTGTGGCCTGGGAGGGCAATGGAGGATGGCCCAAGTGCTTGGACTCTGCACCCGCATGGGAGACCGGGAGGAGGCACCCGGCTCCTGGCTTCAGATTGGTGCAGCACACCGGCCGCAGTGGCCATTTGGGGGTGAACCAATGGAGGGAAGACCTTTCTCTCTGTTTCTCTCTCTCTCACTCTCTAACTCTGCCTGTCAAAAAATAAAAATAAAAAAATATGCCCAGGGGCTGGCGCTGTGGTATAGCAGGGTAAAGCCATCATCTGCGGCACCAGCATCCCATATGGACGCTGGTTAGAGTCCATGCTGCTCCACATCCAATCCAGCTCCCTGCTATTGTGCCTGGGGAAGCAGTAGAAGATGGCCCTAGTACCTGGGCTCCTGCATCCATGTGGTCCTTAATACTAAGGACTCCTATGGTAAAATATGACTGAATTTTTTACTTGGTGACTATTTTGTCAAAACTTTCTTGAAGCACTTAAGAAAGCATTTGAACTGATCTTCTGTTAAAAAAAAAAAAAGAAGAAGAAGAAATTAGCAATTCCCAACTTGACTCTCACTGGGATTAAACATGACAATAGGTCTGATCTGATTTCATCATCATTTAAAAAATCATCTATTATTTTTCACTTTATGTTTCTGTGTGGGAGCAAACTGTTGAAATCTTTACTTAATGTATGCTAAACTGATATTCTGTATATAAAGAGAATCAAAAATGAAAAAAAAAGAAAGCATTTGAGAGAAATAAAATAATGAAGATTTTTTCCCACTTAAAAAAAAAGAAGGAATTTGAAAATATGAGCAAGGAGCAAGAGACTAACAAATGACCAGACTATTTTTTTTTAATTATTTATTTATTTATTTGAAAGAGTTACAGAAAGAGAGAGAGGGAGAGACAGAGAAAGGTCTTTCACCTGCTGGTTCACTTCCCAAATGGCCACAACGGCTGGAGCTGGGCTGATCTGAAGCCAGGAGCCAGGAGCTTCTTCCAGGTCTCCCACGTGGGTACAGGGGCCCAAGCACTTGGGCCATCTTCCAGTGCTTTTCCAGGCTATAAACAGAGAGCTGGATCAGAAGAGGACCAGCCAGGACATGTATCCCATATGGGATACCGGCACTGCAGGCAGAGACTTAGCTTACTACACCACACGCCAACCCCTGGATTTATTTTTTCATGTAGTAAACCTTTTTCTTTGCCATATTTATTTTCATAATTATTTAGGTTATTCACATATTGTTTTGTTTCCCAGAATTGTTTTTTATATTTGAGAAAAGAACTAAAATCATATAATTTCATATGAAGGCATAAATGCCCCATTTGCAGTTGATACAAATAGCTCATTTGTCAAAATGTTTCACATTCCATTTTATACAACCTTTGGATTCCACTTTTCAATTGCAATATAAAATACATACAAATAATTGCATATATCCTAAGTATACAGCTTGATAAATATTTACATACTGAGCTCATAGAAACAGCATAAACCACAAAGAGAACATTACCAAGGTAACAGAAATACCCTCAATGTCCTGTCCCAGTGTTACCCAGCCATTCACCAAAGATAACCACCATGCTGACTCCTACCATAATAGATCATCTTGTTTTTGTGAGCTGGCATAACCATCACTGCTTGTTTTTTTGTTTTGTTTTGTTTTTCTTTTTTTTTTTATTTTTTATTTTTGACAGGCAGAGTGGACAGTGAGAGAGAGACAGAGAGAAAGGTCTTCCTTTTTGCCGTTGGTTCACCCTTCAATGGCCGCCGCGGCCGGCGCGCTGCGGCCGGCTCACTGCACTGATCCGATGGCAGGAGCCAGGAGCCAGGTGCTTTTCCTGGTCTCCCATGGGGTGCAGGGCCCAAGCACCTGGGCCATCCTCCACTGCACTCCCTGGCCACAGCAGAGAGCTGGCCTGGAAGAGGGGCAACCGGGACAGAATCTGGCGCCCCAACCGGGACTAGAACCTGGTGTGTCGGCGCCGCAAGGCGGAGGATTAGCCTAGTGAGCCGCGGCGCCGGCCGGTTTTGTTTTTCTTAACCTATCATGTTTATGAGCTTCAACCATATGATTGCACACAATGATAATTTGTTCTTTGTCACTAATATATAGATTTCAGTGTGTCAACATGCTGTAATTTACTTATCTAATCTACTGATAATAGCCATGGTACTTGGGAAATATTATGAACAGTGCTATCGTGAGCATACTAATTCAGCTATGTGCTGTTTAGTAAACTATGTGTAAATTTAGTTGAGCATGTACCGAGATGTGAAATTACTGAATCATTTGATATATGGAAGTGCCATACAATTTTCCAGTCAACAGTCTGTAATGGTCCAAGTTTGTTTGTTTGAAGATTTATTTGTTTATTTTGAACATCAGAATTGCATAGAGAGAGGGAAGACAGAGAGAGATCTTCTACCCCCCAGATGGCTGCAGTGGCCAGCATTAGGAGCTTCATCCAGGTCTCCCAGATGGGTGGCAGGGGCCCAAGTACTTGTGCCATCTTCTACTTCTTTTCCAAGGCCAGTGATAGGGAGCTGGATCCAAAGCAAAACACTAGGACATGAACCACAATCACATGGGATGCCAGTGTCACAGGCAGAGGTTTTGCCCACTGTACCACAACCAGCCCCAGTGGTCCAGGTTTCTATATCCTCAATAACATTTGATACAAGTCTCTACCTTTTTTATATTATTTATTCTTCTGAGTGTGTAGTGGTATCTTATGGCGATTTTCCTTTGCGTTTCCCTGATGACCAATGAAGCTGAGCATGTGGGTTGGCCTAATGTTTTTGCCCCAAGACTAACTGTGTAGACTCAAGAGTCCATTTCCAAGTGGGTTCCACAAGTAAGCCATGAATCCTCAGAGAAGGATTTTTCATTATAGTTCCTCACAGAAACCAAGCTAAGGCAGGTGTGGGGAGCAGCCCGGACTGGACTGAGTTACTGGAATTAAGACTTATTCTATGCATCTGCTCTCCCACAATATGGCGCTGGGAGAGAAGTAAACAGCTTCCACACAGCTGCCTCCAGTTCAACCAATAAACTGTAGGACCTGCTCCTGATTGGAGAGCAGCGTACTCGGCATGTGGGCAGCCGAGTTAGGATTGGCGGAGGAGGACTATAAAGGAGGAGAGAGACGGCATGCACCGGGAACATCTATGGGGAACACCTATTTGAAGGAACACCTGTGCAGCCCCCGAGAAGAGCCGGCCGGCGGTGTGCCGCTCCCCTGCGGAAGTGGGGAATGTGGCCAGGGGGTACTGCCCTTCCACGGAGGTGGAAGGGATAGTAGCCAACCCGGGAAGAACCAGCAGCAAACCCGGGGAGGGCCGAGCAGACGAAAGAACAGCGCAGGGTCCTGTGTTGCTCCTCCACGAAGAGGGGGAGCGACATAATGGTGCCGTGACTCGGATATGAAGCCTAGGCAGGGTTTAGTGTCGTTCCTCCACGAAGAGGGGGAGCGACAGGCAGGGAACTTGCCAACTTTTCTCTGTTGTCTGCAAATGTCTCTGGAGTATGTTGTGTTTATTTTCTAGTTCTTGCCTTCCCTGAGGGCGGAGGTTCCTGGATCCTAACCTGTGGTCAAGGACCCTTTCCTACCTGCATGGGTAGGAATGCCTCCTGGATATCCAGAGCTTTACAGCTCATTTACTCCCTGATCCCAGCTCCCACTTCCTTTTCCCTATCCCGGTGTTTTTCTTCTATGGAAGTTTCATTCTGATTCAAAAGGCTGTTTTTCACATTTTATTCATATTTTAAGTATGGTAAAACTAGGTGTCATGAGCTGCTTTTCTCTCTCTAATATGTTTGAAGGTTGAGATACAGTCACAGTAGACACTCTGGCTGTAGTTTATGCTACTTCCGGAGACCTGTTGCCTCCTGGTAGCAGGAAACTTCTGTGCATAGGACTCACCAGCACTTGGAAGGAAGTGGTCCTGTTACCTTGCATATTGTCCCCATAATGAAGGTCTCCAAACCACCAAGAGCTTTCCTACCACAGAAAGGTGGGCAGAAGTGTTTCTCTACTCCAGTAAGGAGAGAAGGGGGGATCCTCCAAACCTATGTGAATCTATGACATATTAGCTTTAAAAAGAAACTACCTGAATAAACAATCAAGTAGAAAGGTAGAAACTGATGATCACAAGTTGTACCCAGAACTGAGAGCTAGAATGCTTCTCATTTACAAAAGTAGAAGAAATATAAAGCCATGAGCCCACAAAGGAAGCAAAAAGATAAACAGAATAGGTAGGATTTTGTCACTACATAATATATTTCAACAAACTGCCTTTTTTTTTTAGATTTTATTTATTTATTTGAGAGGTAGAGTTACAGACAGTGAGAAGAGAAACAGAGAGAAAGGTATTCCATCTGCTGGTTCACTTCCCAAATGTCTGCAACGGCTGGAGCTGAGCTGATCTGAAGCCAGGAGCCAAGAGCTTCTTCTGGGTCTCCCATACGGTTGCAGAGGCCCAAGTGCTTGGGCCATTTTCTATTGCTTTCCTTTTTTTTTTTTTTTTTTTTTTTTTTTTTTTTTTTTTTTGACAGGCAGAGGGGACAGGGAGAAAAAAAAAGAAAGAAAGGTCTTCCTTTGCCGTTGGTTCACCCTCCAATGGCCACCGCAGCCAGCGTGCTGTGGCCGGTGCATCGCACTGATCCGAAGCCAGGAGCAGGTGCTTCTTCTGGTCTCCCATGTGGATGCAGGGCCCAAGGACTTAGGCCATCCTCCACTGCACTCCCGGGCCACAGCAGAGAGCTGGCCTGGAAGAGGAGCAACCAGGCGCCCTGACCGGGACTAGAACCCAATGTGCCAGCGCTGCAGGTGGAGAATTAGCCTATTGAGCCATGGCACCGGCCTCTGCTGCTTTTCCAGGCCATGACAGAGAGCTGGATTGGAAGAGGAGCAGCTGGGGACTAGAATTGGGGCCCATATGGAACGCCTGCACCACAGGCAGAGGATTAACCTACTGCGCCACAGTGCCAGCAGGCTGCTGTCTTTTAAAATTCTATAACTGGGTTTCTCTCTGTCTCTCTCTGTCTAACTCTATCTGCAAAACAAAAAAACAAACAAACAAAAACACAATTCTATAACTGGGGCCAGTGGTGTAGGGGGTAAAGCTGCTGCCTGCAGTGATGACATCCTATATGGGCATGGTTCAAGTCCTGGCTGCTCCGCTTCCCATCCAACTCTCTGTGATGGCCCGGGAAAGCAGTAGAAGATGGGCCCCTGCACCTGCACGGGAGACCCGGAGGAAGCTCCTGGCTCCTGGCTTTGGATCGGCGCAGCTTCGGCGGTTGCAGTAATCTGGGGAGTGAACGAGCAGATAGAAGACCTCTCTCTCTCTCTCTCTCTCTCTCTCTCTCTCTCTCTCCACCTCTGCCTCTCAAATAAATAAATCTTTAAAAAAAAAAAAAACTAAAAATAAAATGAAATTCTATAACTAAATTATATTTCTCATGACAATATTTCCTTGGTTAAAAGGTGATTTGAAAGTACTTTATACCTAGTTAATATATAAAAATTTGAAACACTCAAAATTTATTATCAAAAACAAATCTTTGAGGCTGGCACTGCGGCTCAATAGGCTAATCCTCTGCCTGGGGCGCCAGCACACCGGGTTCTAGTCCCGGTCGGAGCGCCAGATTCTGTCCCAGTTGCTCCTCTTCCAGTCCAGCTCTCTGCTGTGGCCCAAGAGTGCAGTGGAGGATGGCCTGAGTGCTTGGGCCCTGCACCCACATGGGAGACCAGGAGAAAGCACCTGGCTCCTGGCTTCGGATCATCGCAGTGCACCGGCCACAGCAGCCACTGGGGGTTGAACCAATGGAAAAGGAAGACCTTTCTCTCTCTTTCTCTCTCTCTCTCTGTCTCTCTCTCTCACTGTCCATTCTGCCTGTCAAAAACAAAACAAAACAAAACAAAACACCCAAATCATTGAATTGTCTAACTTTAGCTGCTAATATGGCTTTTTAACTTTGGCTTTGTATTATTAGGTCATTTCCAGTGAGAAATATAATTATCTCTAATCTAGCACTGTTGGATAATTCTTATTTGAGGCAGATAAAATACCTGGACTTGATTTTATCTACTGGCATCCATTAGATAACTTTCCCATTTAAACACTTACATTGTAACATTATGCATTTTCAGTATCTTCAGTAAATTAAATGAAATTGTCTTGAAATCATGACTTTAATGAGATTAATTTTTTGAACATCTAAACTATTTAGTTCATCTTTCATTACAGAAACAAAAGCATTTTTTAAAAAGTCAGTCTCTATGAGAACAAAGCCTTGTGCATTCATGTTTGAATCAATCTCCTGTGAGATTCATGAAGAAAGTTAAATTGGGGACAACACTCCATGAACACCAAAGGAATCTCTCAGTTGATCATTCAGAGCTCTTCATCAGTGTTCTGTGATCATGACCACATGGATGTCTGCTCATTAAATTCAACTGACCATTTTAGCTAACTGCCTGGATTGACTTCTATGAAAATTGATCTAACATCTCCCCTTTTTAAAGCCTTGGTGAATTAATCAGAACTTACAAAACCAAAGAAAAATAGAAAAAAAAAATCTTAGTGAAAGAGAATTCAATCTTAAAAACTAATTACAACAAGGCAAGACTTACGTTTCTGTTCATCTTCTAAGAACAAATATAATTTCCACCTTAAAAAGGAAAAATGAACACCACATGTATTGAAGAACAACATGACCTGGATCATTATTTGTTTCCAGTTGTTTACATTTTTGTGATCGTAGTCAGTGTTCCAGCCAATATTGGATCTCTCTGTGTGTCCTTTCTTCAAGCAAAGAAAAAAAATGAACTAGGGATTTACCTCTTCAGTTTATCACTATCGGATTTGCTCTATGCATTGACGCTTCCTCTCTGGATTAATTACACTTGGAATAACGACAACTGGACTTTATCTCCTGCCTTGTGCAGAGGGAGTGCTTTCTTCATGTATCTGAACTTCTACAGCAGCACAGCGTTCCTCACTTGCATTGCTGTCGACCGGTATTTAGCAGTTGTCTACCCCTTGCGATTTTGTTTTCTAAGAACGAGAAGATTTGCATTCATGGTCACCCTCGCTGTCTGGGTATTGGAAACCATGTTCAACGCTGTCATTTTGTGGGAGGACGAAACAGCTATTGAGTATTGCGATGGCAAAAAATCTAATTTTACTTTGTGCTATGACAAATACCCTTTGGAGAAATGGCAAATCGATCTCAACTTGTTTAGGACATGTACAGGCTATGTGATACCCTTAGCCACCATAATGGTCTGCAACCAGAAAGTTTACCAAGCTGTGCGGCAGAACAAAGCAACAGAAAACAGGGAAAAGAAGATCATCATAAAACTACTTGTTAGTCTCACTTTGACTTTTGTCTTGTGCTTTACTCCCTTTCATGTGATGGTGCTGATTCGCTGCATTTTAGAGCGTGATGTGAACTTAGATAACCACAAGTCTGGGAAGCAGACTTACACAGTGTATAGAATCACAGTCGCATTAACAAGCTTAAATTGTGTTGCTGATCCAATTCTGTACTGTTTTGTAACTGAGACTGGAAGATCTGATATGTGGAATATATTAAAATTCTGTACTGGGAAGGGTAATAAATTACAAAGACAAAGAAAACACATTCTTTCTACTTCTACAAAAGATACAATGGAATTAGAAGTCTTAGAGTAGAAGGGTTTGGTTTTTTTCTTTGTTTTGTTTTGTTTTAAGGTGCATGGTATTGTATCATTAAGATCACATTTTGAAAAGGAAATCTGTCATGTGAGGAAATTAAGTGATCTGAGTGAATATTTTAATAAAGTCTATACAATGGAAATATTTTAAAAGTACATTGTACAACTCTTCCTTTTATTAAATGAGGAATAGCAAATAAAATTTAATATTTTCATAAAGACTCAGAGTCATGATTGCTAATGGAAATTGTTCCTCTGTCTGTGTTACAAACCTTCAGAAGTTAGAAAGGAATAAAGGACTATTAGTCTCTTTTGCAGTGATTTTTGTGTGTGGTTTGGGGATTTTTCTCACTGCCTTTAGATTTCAGGTTGTCAGCCATCAGTTCTCCCAACTCTATGGATCTGTCTTCAACAACTTCAACTACTAAATTCTGCTTTTATTATTCTCATTCATTAACAAAATCTTTGAACCCATCCCATGTGCTATACAGGAGTTAGAGAATACAGGAGTTAGAGCTCTAGAGGAGTTAGAGAAGAAATGTTCTCATGAAGCTGCATGAATTTACATCAGTTCTGAAATCTAGTCATCGAGCTTGTAAGATAGCCGTGTAAAGTAAAAGTGAATATGCTCTGGGTTTTGTTTGGATTCTCCTTTAATGTATAGCCAATTACAACATGGTTGAAAATACCCTAAGTTTAATGTCTAGACAAATAGTTACATTAAATCTTATATTCAGAGATTTATTTTCAAACTTTTACTAGAGAGTTTTGATATAATATATTATTTTGAATCTCCATTGTGGAAATATACCCTACTCAGTTTTGGTAGGTGATGGGTAAACTTTTTTTAACCAAAGTATGTTTAAAGATATTTTTATCTTTCTTTTTCTTCTTCTTCCTTCTCTTTCCTCTCTATCCTCTGTACTTTCTCCAAAATGTTCAGGTGACAAATATCTTGATGCCACTTGGTGCCCACACATTTGAAAACAAACGCCTAGTAAGAGAAACCAATGTACTTTCAGTTAGACATTTTTAGATGCACACTGAAAAAACGACCAGTGAGTATGCAAACTGACAACATTTTCCATTTGAAATCTTCCACGATGAAATGTATGCATGCAATAGAAAGCCACCTTGCTTTGAGGCCACATGTGTAATCCCTGAATATTTCTGGAAATAATGGTTTTAGAGACTTAGTAAATTAATTAATACATTCTGTCTTGGCACTCTGAGACACCGTCCACATACACTTGAGGACTGAAGATACAACATTAAAATTAAAGAGTAATTAAAATACTTTGAGCTGCTTTGTTAATTCCTGGCAGCCTCTGAGTTGAGTACTTGTAAAAGAAAAATCCAGAAACAATTTTGCCCACATCTGAAAAGTCAGATACAGATTATCTTGTCCAAGATCACACAGTTGGTTGAAAGCAGATCTAGACTTTGAACTTCAAATCTGATTTCCCTTCAGAGTTGTTTTTATTCCCTTTATGACTTATTATTAACAAACTTCTACCATTTCTTTTATTAAGTATAATAAAGACATACACATGAAGAGCTGTTTAGTGTTGTTGATTGGTTTAAGTCTAAACAAGCAAAATGATTAATGTTATTAACACCTCTGGAAGTATAATAAATCATATAGATAGTAATTAAACTGATTTATTACAAAGACCTAATCAGGATTTGTCCTCAGTTGGTTGTATGAAAATACATGGCAGATCCTTAATGGAATGTTCTACTTAATGATTAACTGCAAAACTTTATTTAGGATGTTGTGAGATTAGTTTCCAAATGAATCAGACTGCTGCCCAAACCTGCTAATCCTTCCTTTAGATCCAGGCCAGTCATGGAAAAGCCATGTTGGGAGGGTATTCATAAGATTCAGGACTCTAGACATGACTAAAATAATCAAGATTGCAAGTTATCCTTTAGTTTTTAAAGGCTTTTTGGATTCCTCCTTTAAGTTCCACATTAAACTGAAAGTACTTCTAGAAGGGAGAAGACCTTCTAGTCTTTATTACCAGGGATTTTATTGTCAGAAAACATAGATTGGAACATCAAATAATCCACTTTCTAGCTATTTGTCTTCAAAATATTTTCACGACCACCCACAGACTAGCTTCTACAAACTTTAAGGACAGTAGTAACAACTGCTTTTAAGAAGTAGATGTGAAAACTTTGTAAATGGTGATGAGCTTTCTAAATGTTCATTTACTATTAGCTATTTCATCTTTAGCATGATTGTGGACAGTAACCAAAGGGATAGCAAAGTTCCTGGAGGAACACTGTGGGTACTGATGTAGCAATATGAGCTGGTAGGATTTGGCTGCTTGCTATAGTTACTTCCTAGAGATGGTTAGATAAGTCCATTATGGTCACTGAGTGACTTCCTTGTTTCTGGTTCTGTTGAACATTTTCAATAGTGCCGACCAAGATTTTGAGGAGACGCTCAATATGGAAATCACCATACATGTAGATATGCATTCTGTATTTGTTTAAATTTAGACTTTTTATTTTCTTACTTAGCACATTATTTTTTAATTTAATGAACTAAAAATAAATATCTTGAAGAGGCCTGAGAAGGGACTAAACACAGGAATTTTTAATTTTTTGAATATTTATTTTCATTTTATTTGAAAGGCAGAGAGAGAAAGATCTTCCATCTGCTGGTTGACACCCAAATGCAGGCAACAGCCAGGGCTGGGCCAGTCCCAAGCCATGAAGCTAGAACTCAATCTGGGTCTCCCACATATGTGACAAGGACCCAAGCACATGAGCCACCTTTGCTGCCTCCTGAGGTGTTTGTTAGCAGGCAGCTGGATTGGAAACAGAAGCTAGAGCTCAGACGCTCCCACACAGGATGTAGGTGTTCCCAGCAGCGACTTAACCGCAGCACCACATGCCCACTCCATGTGTACAGGGTTTAAAACTTTCATTTCCCGCACCTAATCTAGCGAAGCTTCACGGATGAGGCTTCATGGATGAAAGGATGTGGCAGATAACAGCTTCATTTGATCCAAATTACACAGCATTATCTCCCCAGGAGGATCCTGAACAAATCTGCTTATCAACCTGATTTATTCCTTGTTCTCTTTTCAAGATGAGCCAGCAGCTCTCCCCAAGGCATTAGATTTCTTTTCTTTAATGTAATAGTCAAAGAAACAATTATTTATCAATTGCTTCTTTTGGCTTTGTTAACCTTATTTATTTTTAATTAGTACTGATTTTAAAATAGAAACTATGATACTGTTTATGCATTTCTTTTTCTAACACTTTTATCTTGCCCTGCCCTTCCTTTTGCCCAATCATAACTGTCATCAGTGGGGCCCCTGTTGATTTCTGGTTAAACCCATCATAGTTTGCGTTAGAAACCAACAGCCACTAGAACACCCTGACCCAAGAAGACCTTTGGATTAACAGATCTCTTAGTCTAGGTCCTTCTAGTGACCTTGTTGCAGAAACAAAAGACTTCCTCTACAGACACACTCAGACCCAAAAACCCATATTCATAGACACACACAAGCAACTTGTCCCATCTCATCAAAAAGAAAAAAAAAAAAATCCTTGAGTCTTTTCAGCACAGGTTTCTGCTGTTTTTAAAAGTGTATGATAGCAGCTAGTTTAATTCATATTACCTCCTTAACTTCTGAAATAATCCAACATCAGGTATTCTCATTTTCTTGTTCAAGGAACCTGCAGCTGAGGAGTAGGGGGTGGGGGAGGGGGTCACTTTCAAGATTCTCCTTCCTTGTCCCTCTCACCTTCCTTCTAGGGGGCTGTAATAAGAAAACTTCTATGTGTATTTTCTCATTGCTGTGCTAGTCTGGAAAAAATTCAGTACTGATTGAGATGTTTCTTTTCATTTATATCTCCTAAGTACACACCTTTAAGGGAACATAATAGAAATTTAACTTAAATATTTAAATTTTTTCATTTAAGGTATAAACATTTGATTCAATTCAAATTAAAAAAAAGTTACCGCTATTCCTCTTTTATTCGTAGCCTTTCTAACAGCTTAAAGTGGAGCACAATGTACGTAGCTTCCTGATGATAGTGACATTTGCTGAATGCACACATTTGGGAGAATAAGCTGACACTTGCAAAAGTGAATCACATTTGGAGTGAGGGGGGAAGTGAGGCCAGGGTTGACATTCCTCTTTTCTCTTCCAAAGATCTTGTTCTTAACGCTTGTTGCTGGCCAAGAAAAACTATGCAGGGCTTCTGCTTATGACCACTAGGTGTCAGACACATTCCATCATGGAACCCTGCAGTGCACATCTCCTTGCCACTCCCAAAGAGCAGAGTAGCCCGGGAAGACATTTTCTGATCCAAGGAAGAAAAACTCCCTTCAAACAGGAAATTAAGGGGGAAATGCAGAATTCTTTTTGCACCATTTAGTTCTCTGCTCTCTGGAAAGCTTGGCAATCATTAAACAGTTTCACTTGGTTTAAACTCCAAATGTCATTCCAATTTAAAATTAAAATTAATCAGGGTCAGGCATTTGACCTAGTGGTTAAATCGCCAATGGGAATGTCCACATCTCTTACCAGACTGCTTGGGTTCAAGTCCTGGCTGCACTCACCATTCCTGCTTCTTGCTGGTGTGGATCCTGAGAGGCAGCAGATGATAGCTCAAGTGCTTGGGTCCCTGCCACCCACATGGGAGACTCAGATTGAATTCTGGGCTCCTGGCTCCAGCCTGGCCCAGCCCCAGATGCTGTGGACATTTGAGGAGTAAACCAGCAGATGAGAGATCTCCATGTGAGGGTCAGGGAGGATCTTCTCTCTACCTCTCAAAATAAATCACTTAAATTAAAATTGGTTAGTCCACATGTAAGAGAATTTTAGCTAAGTTTGTAATTTCTGCAGGATTGTGGCTAAAGCATTAAAAACATGTCTTTATATGGCTATCTCACCTGTATGAGAAAATGCTGGCCACCTTTCATATAAATAGAAACATAAAACATTGAAGCTGCAAGCAGTTTGCATTTTTGTCTGCTATGGAGGTCAAGATAGAATTCATTACATGTATTGTTTTTAATTTGTAATTTATTGTTGCTAAACCTCAGCACTAAAAACTTGCATCTGTTATTTAAGTTGTTTAAATCTGTTCTTCCCCAAAGAACAGTAATACAATCATGCTCTAATTTAACAGCATTTGCATATCATTAAAAGTATAATTGCCTATAATCTTTCTTTCTTCTGCTTATAATTTTCTGAAACCCCTATGAAGCACCAGTGGATTTTAAAAAAAATCTAGTTTTCTTTTATAAACATTTTACTTATTGATTATCATTTTTAAAAGATTTATTTATTTATTTAGAAGTCACAGTGACAAAGACAGAGAGAGAGAGACAGAGAGAAAAAGATCTTCCATGAGCTGGTTCACTTACCAAATGGCCACAACAACCAGAACTGGGCTATTCCAAAACCAGGAGCCTGGAACACCATCCAGGTCTTCCACATGGGTAGCAGAGGCCCAAGTACTTGGACTATCCTGCACTGCTTTCACAAGCATGTTAGCAAGAAGCTGGATTAGAAGCAG